CGAATGGGATAGGAGAGACAGGAGGGAGAGCGTGTGACAGAGAGAACGAAATTTTCTAAACAAAAAAAAAAAAAAATAAAATAAAGCAAATTTTTTAAAGTTGGCACACTGGTTCGAGTGACTCTTTGTAAGTATTAAAAAGTAAACAAAAAAAAAAAGGAAAAAAAAAAGAAAAAAAAAATTCGAAGTGGCCTTCTGTAAAAGGAAAAGACCATCGCTTTTCGCTTTTGCTCGAGAGAAAAAAAAAGGAAAAAAAAAAAAAAAAAAAAGAAAAAAGATGGGGGCGTATAGGCTATCCGTCGTGTTATACGTTGTTTAGGCAATCTTTTTAGAAAACGTTGTTCTCGCGCCACTCCCCTATGGAAGCTTTAAACGGTTTGTACGAAAGTTCCGAGAGGAATCGATTAGCAAGTTAATTATCGGCGATTAGAAAATTAAATTCGGGAAAAATCTCTAAAACGCGTTATTCTTGATACAAAAGATTTTTGGATGAAACTAAAAAAAAAAAAAAAAAAAAAAAAAAAAAATATTCGGTCGACGAGAAAAAAAGTGCCGATCGAGCACGTTTTATTTTTTCGTGAAAATCGGAACGACACGCGAGAGAGCGATCGATTGAGGAAAGAAGGAAAAAAAAAAAGAAAGAAAGAAAGAAAGAAAGAAAGAAAGAAGAATGATAGATCGCGAATTTAAAAGATTTTATTACGATTTAGGCTTAATGTGTTCAACGAGAAGGTAAATTTGAACGAAACCAGCGGCAGGGTGGAGCAAAAGAAACTCGTGAGTCAAAGCGAGGAGATGGAATTGGAAGAAGAAAGGGGGAAAAAAAAAAAAATATATTCAAAGAGCCGCGAACGAAATTGCGAGAAAGAATACGATAGAGAGGGTTAGAGAGAGAGTGTGCGAGAGAAAAGGATGGGGAATGTGAACAGGCGAGAATGTGGAAAGAAGATTAAAATTAATATTGTATAAAAAAAAAAAAAAAAAAAGTAGCAAGTGCCTTTCAAACAAAAAAAAAAAAAAAATTTTACGTGTCCCGTAGACCGTGACCACTTGTACGTGATGAAAAAATCATTCGAAATTTCACATCACCAAATGAATCATTTCCGACAAAAGTGGAAAAGAAATAGAAGAAACAAAATGAAAGAAAGAGAGAGGAAAAAGCAAAAAAAAAAAAAAAAAAAAAAAA